TGATAATTACCATTACCACCATAGATTGGAAAATTTAGAAAATTTATTGACTGCATACTGAGTTAAAGCAGTCCAGTTTAATTGAATTCACTTAAATCGTTCGGAATGTATTCAAATACTTGGGTAATGCATGCATGTGCATTTGTCAAAGTGAGATCTTCGAAAAGTTCGACGTTTTCCCAATAGCCAATCATAAATGATGAAATGAATGCAGATCTGCAAATTTAAGAACTGCATCTTGAAATCGAAGCTGAATCCGAATAAAAGCCCTTTATTCCGAATGGAAAAATTCTGAAACCCTCCCGACAAAATAAATACTAAAATTTAGTTTACAAAAAGTGAAAAATCAAGTAATTTCATTAAAAAAAAAGTTGAACATAAAAGTGCTTGGAACATGCTCTGAGAATTAGAATCAAGAGGAAAAAATTGGCCTGCTGGCGAGAATGTCGAGAAGAATGTTCTCTCTCTCTTGGCAAAATCCCAAGCAGACTCAACTGAGCGCTAAATTTAAACGGCGACCCGACCTGGAATCCCTGGTTCCCGGACCCAGGGTTCAGCTTGAATCTTTCCCATTTCTTATTTCCTGCTTCCTTTTCGTATAGGCTTCCTGTTTTCCTTCGTCATTTCACATGCTCCTTTTTTCTTCCATGTATGTGTGTTTTTATCTTTTGGTTTTTAAATACTATTTCTTTTTATTCTCCAGAATAAAATAGAGACGCTGTGGAGAAAAGAAACAATAAGGTGTCGCGTGGCGAACGTGTTGGTGAATTGAAAAAGATATGTGTGTTTTTATCTTTTTGTTTTTAAATACCATTTCTTTTTATTCTCCAGAATAAAACAGAGACGCTGTGGAGAAAAGAAACAATAAGGTGTCGCGTGGCGAACGTGTTGGTGAATTGAAAAAGGTCGGAGGAGGCTGGTTTCCGGTTTGACGTGGCACATGTGTTTGTCTGTGTGTTTTGTGTCTGTAAAAATTGTTGATTTTTCTCAGCAAAAAAGGAAAATATCTGCAACGGAATTATACTTCGGAATTGAAAGGAAACCGAGGAATTTTCACGTTTACGAAAAATCAAATACGTATGGGAGACCGAACATTTAATGTTTATGCATCTGACGAAAACTTTTAATTTCAAGCTTGCTCGTATTTTCTGATAAAATCTTGTTCTGATGAAATCATGAGGACAGAACTGTAATTTTGAAATTTTTGACTTCTGCATATTTTTTACTTCAATATCCTCGGCGAAAAAGTTCAAAGATTCATGAAATATGTCGAACTATACTTCAACAACAACAAAAATTCGGCTGATCCTGATTTTTGGCTTAAAATCCAAATTCAATCCCGCAAAATCCCTGATTTTCGAATAAATTCCACAAAATCAGTACAGCATTGGATTGAAATCGCTCCTTCATTAGTTATACCAAGATGACGTCATTCAAGTAAACAGGACGACGTAATTTACAGTGTTCCCTGAATACAGCAGCGACCTGCGTGTCCTCTTTTCCAAATCAGCAGTTCAACGATTTACGAATTTCCAAAAAATTGCATCGAGCTAATCAGTTATAATTAGACGCAGGCATTCATAACACGACGAAATTTAATCATGATATTGATGTGCTTAAGAAACAAAAATACAATGCGGGATCGACTCAAATTCAGATTGACGGATACATATAACAGCGACATCTATTCTTGCAATAGGCTTCGGTTAGCTTTGAGCGAGAGTTGTGATAACCAGAGGAAGATCTCCGGGAATCGTAAAGAGGACAGATTTAGCTTCGCAAAATGCGCTTTCGTTTCTTTTCAATTTTACTTCAATCCAAGTGGCATACATTTATTCAAGTGTTTTATTGGTGATAGCATTAAATCTAGGGATAAAAAACTAATTTGTGATATCGTCTTTTCGTGGCATTATTGCAGGATCTTCGACTTGTTTCTTTCCTTCTTTATTCCGAGGCGGGGTTCGTACCCTTTGACAGGTCGACAAAATGGGCGAAGAGTGAGTCATTCGAATCATTTTATTTTTGCAAGAACGTATTACACGATATTTTGCGTAGAATGCATCTGTTTTTTTTCGCATGACAGGCATGTTTTTTGAAGAATTAATGCAGTTTTCCAATCAAATTCCGACAAAAATTTAAATTCTATGGTGTGAAACGTAGTTCAAAAAGTCGTTCTCAAGAATCTTTTGTGTTTATGGCAAAATTCAAATGCATACTTTTTCAAATTTTTGCACAATTTGGCATATCATGCCGGGGTTTTTTTTTTGGCATAACCTCAGGTGAATCTTCCGTGGCACGGGATGCCCCAGCGTTCACTTGATTTTTTACTCTTTTCAACAAGTTGATTTCTGCGGTAGAAAATCCTTACATTGTGAAAATTGAACTTTTTGAATGAACTGTAAATACGCATGCAATTTTGGTGTTATTTTTGCGACAATGTATACAGGACTAACAATAGCGATTGGCGATCCACTTGGAAAAGCACTGGTGTTATGGAGCAACGTCGCATGCGGTTTGAGTCCCTATCCCATGAGTAAGCATTCAAATGAATCAGCACTTAATAAAGCAGCAATAAATCAGGCCAGAAATGTATACATTAAACCCCCGAAAAACACAATATTCTCCCCGAACATTCATACGAATATTTTGAAAGAATTCAGAAACTGTACTAGCTCATGATCAGTTGATCCCTCAATTCAAAGAGGCTTTGTTGCAGTTAATTTTGATTTCATGTAATAATAAACATTTTGAAGTTTTCTCTCAATTATATTTTTTAACCCATCATCCCTTCTTTGATCACGAAGTGCGGTGAAGGAATATTTTCCCTTGAACACTCCCTTTTTTAAGTTTCAAAAACGCGTCAAAGAGTAAACGTCAATATGTATTTCATTTTAGACGAAAGAGTTTCTCATAGGTCACCATAATTAATTTAAGACTTCGGAAAGGATTGCTAGGATGACAAAAAAAATTTAAAAAACCGATTAGAAGTTAAGCTCTCAAGTTCAGTTGACGTTTTTCATGTTAATGAAGTACACTCCTACATGTTTAAGAACCGTACTTAACTTTAAACAAACTTCTTGTGATGAAAAATTCGTTGAAAACTGTTATTACCTAAATAGATTCAACTATTTTTTTTGAGTTAAGTTAAACATACGCTTAACTTACCTTATTTTAAAGCAGTCAGCACTGAGCACTACAATAAAGGTTTATAAACGAAGTCTAAAGTACAGAGGGTTCTTTTACCGAATGAGATTTCTTCAAATCCTTCGTGAGGAAAAAGCTTCAGTATTTCCTCGTAAAAAAAAATTGGAAAAACTTGACCAAATATAGACTAGGTGCACTTATTAGACTGCAGGAACATACCTCGTCGCGAATATTGACGTATTCCGATAAATATTCAATTTGAATCGCCCATGGAAATATTGTTTCATCAACGGATCAGTTATTTTTGTTTTCTCACCTTTTTCGTTCGGAGTAAAGTAAAACACACCATTCCACGAAACAACCAAACAAAAGGGCGCAAAAATGTCATGTAACGCCATTTTCCCACAAGTTCGAAGGCCACTCATTCATCGAAGCCAGTGTCAAAAATACCATTGAAGAGCAGACAGGGAAAACCTGTCCCAGCTCTGCCGATGACGATGACAAGTCCAGAGATTTCCGACGAGGATGAGACTCAAATCGACAAGTGCGACACCTCGTCGTCGTCGGGTGAGTCAACGTCGAGCAGCAACAACAGATGGCAGCGCCACTCGTCTCCACTAGTCGCACTCGTCGGAAAGCCGCATGTTGACCCGAACCCGGGTCCAAGGTCAGCTGGGGGAACCAACTGGGTCATGACGAAGCTGTATGACCAACAAGGGGGTTTATTGTCGCATCTTCGGGATGATGACGAAGAGGTTCGCATGCATATATGTCCGGAAAATGAATTATATAATCATCACCTTAAAAAAACAGGAATGTCATCATGCATTTCGCTGATTTTGTCGTTTGGCGAAAGGATAAATTGGCAACAGAAAATCTCAATTCATACTCAACAGGGTTTTCTGCATATACACCTTGAAACTCATATTCAAATGATGCAATTTACTGACTTTTTGCCATCATTTTTGCGATTTTATATGAAACACATCCATTTTGATTCACATAACTCAGCAACGAAACAAATTTGGTCAAATTATTTCACAATTACCAGACGAATTTCGAAGGCTTTGTTCATTATGCATGAATTTCTTATACAGTAGTTATTTAAAAAAAAAAGAGCAAATGTTCTTTATGTTTTGCTAAAATAAATACTGTACCGGTATGTTAATTTAAGTCACCGGCCCTCACGGAATTTCGCATGTTGCATGTTACATTTTATTTCTCTTCTTTTGCATGGAATTGTTTGCGGTATGATCAACATGAAGCATACATCAACTGAAAATGATTCGGATGATGATGGATTGATTGAGTTAGTATATGACAAATATTGTGATTTTTTATGTTGATTTTATTTCTCCAATCTTTGTTTTGCTAATGCAGCGTTTTTTCTCTGGCTTTTTTGTTTTCTTTTCTGAATTGGATCGGAAACCACGTGACGGAAATTCGTCTTGGACAACATCCAGAGATGACGTGAGTACTTATACATTGAACACACAGAAACATTTCAAAAAACAGTTCACAGTAAATGATGGCTGATGTGATATATTACAGAAAATGTTTTCTTTGATTGCTGATGGAACGAAACATTTAATTTCATACTTTTTTTAGATTTAGATTTCGGCAGATCGCATTCCTCATTTTTTTCAGTTCACGACTGTCTTCCATCCACGGATTATGCTCATCCTTTTTATATACGAATAGACCGCATTTTTGAATGAACCTTCCAACTTTTGTTTCAGAGTAGCATTCCCAAAAAAGAAATCAGTCAGTTTTAGAGGTCTACGATATTTTTTCCCCGCCTTTTTTGCCATCTTTTCAGCAGCATCGTCGTCCGTCAATTTTTTCTTCTTGCCAAACCTTCCTTCGTCTGTTATTTTGCATTTAATTTTTTTCTCTTGCAGAGAGTCCGCGTAGAGGAGGCACGTATCAGGGCAGAGGAAGTATGTTTGCGTGACTAATAGCATGTATTTTTTTCATTCTTTCAAATTCGAAAAAATCGATTCGCAAATCGTACATTTGGAGCATATTTTTCTTTGGCTGCTGGGCTTTTGCAACTTCGCCTGAAGTTTGGTTAAATTGGCGCTATGTAAAAACCCTTTCCGGGAACGAAGAAAAAAAAAAGAAAACCACTGATTTGATTGCCTCAATTGCTTATACGATTGGGACTTTTTTTTCTTTCAAATTTCAGGCGAAAATTTGCATAAGTTAGCACCTCGGATAATATGGAATTACTTATTCGTCTTTTCAACAGCAATATGATGGAATTGAAAAATATTTTCGCTTTGGTGAGAGAAAACGTAGAATTCAGGCCCGTTATTTTTGCATGGCATGAAATGGGTGCACTTGCACAAAAAAATAACTTTTTGTAGTGTGTTCCACCATCGTTTGACTAAATATATTTTAGAAAAATATCTCATAGATTACGCATGCGTATCATACCTGAAAATTGTGAATAACTGCACGCACCGATATTTTAATTACGGCTGTCATTTATCCTCGTGCAATGAAATTTTGCACCAATATTTTTGGCACAGTTTGAGCAATTCAGCACTCGAGCACTTCGGGATTCGGGAGGCCGAAAAAAAAAAAGACAATGCAATGTATATAAAAACGGTCAAATTAATTGGTGCAAATTGGAATTCCTTAAACAGTATTTGAAATCTAAACGTCGTTTATTCCGAAGCTGACTCTCATATCCCACTCACTTATTTGAATTATACGTGTTATATATATCGTACACCTCGACCGCACTTCTCTGGAGTGTAAAATTAATTACACGAAGAAACGTGATTATTTTTTTTACATGGGACCCAGTATTTAGATTTTTTTTCATCGAAAATTTATTTTAAAAACCAGGGTCAACTCCTATTACTCCAATGCTGAGAGAACGTTTAGAAATTATTATACCGTCGCACAGTAATTGTTCGGTTATTTTTTTATTGTTTTATGGATTGAAAATATGATTTATTTTTTAATTTATGCTGTAAGTACGGTACTTTTACAGAACAGTATTTCAAAAAATTCCTTCACTCATCGGGCAGCAAAGTTGAACTATTTTTGCAAATTTTTCACCGAATACTGGGGAGACTGCATGATTGGAAAAAATGTATGACTTCGTGGAGAAAAAAATTGAGGGCAAATCCCGAAGTTGTTTTTCTTTTTGCACTGCTTACAATAATTGTACCGTACTCAGGGAAAAATAACATCACACAAAATTTTCAAGATTAAGAAGCAAGTACCTCAGTTTTGAGGTCATTACAGGAAAAGTCCAACTCATCTGGAGAAAGAAGGCATAATCAATTCAAATGATTCGCATAGAAGATAAAGAAAATCTCCATGAAACATGCAATAATGATAAAATGCGCGAAGTTTAGCTGAGCAATTTCTTCCACACTACAATGAGAATAACTTGATTTATATCTGTGAAAAACAAAAACAAAATCCTTCAACAAATCCACCTTTGATTTTTGCTCATACAACTGATTTTGAGCCAAAGACGAGCTTTCCAGCATAAATTCAGAAGTGATTTGCACAAGTTTAACCTCAGTAACTCGACCTCAATAAATCAAGGTCAGGTTCCCGTACAAACCTTTTAAACCCAAATTTTCAGGAGACCAGCCAAAGACGAGCTTTCCAGCATAAATTCAGAAGTGATTTGCACAAGTTTAACCTCAGTAACTCGACCTCAATAAATCAAGGTCAGGTTCCCGTACAAACCTTTTAAACCCAAATTTTCAGGAGACCCTGGGCTATTATTCTGACGGCTCAGAGAACTGAAAAAAAAGCATCGAAAAATTGACGTTCAATGCTTTTCAAAATGAAGTGAGCAACTAAAAGAGCAAATGAACCCTCGTCTCCAAGTTCAGTGACATATATATGAACTCATTCAAAAAGCAGTTCAATCCCCACAAAATCACGAATTTCCAAATTTGTTTGCAATCAAAAATGATTGTTTCCCGAAACAAAAATATTTTTGCAGGTCATTTTGAGTTCAACTTGAATAGGTGCTGTGTGACTGTATTTCTTTGATTTTAAAGACGCTCAAAAAAAAGAAAAGGTCCCAAAATAATGAAGTGTATACAGAAACGCCAGAGAAGTGCGAGAAAGGAGCGAGTAAAAGAATGCGAATTTCTCACAATGGCGTGTTTTCACAAGAGATTCCCACTCGTTATTCAATGTTGTCTAATACGTGGAAAAAAACCCCGGGGGTGAAATTAACAGGAGAGGAAGAGGAAAGCAGCGGAAATCGATGCCAAGAAGGCCGAGGTCAGGAAGCGTCTGGAAGAGGCTTCCAAGGCTAAACAAAAGGCCAAGAAGGGTTTCATGACACCGGAGAGGAAGAAGAAACTCAGGGTAAGCATGCATTTTTTCTTTACATTTTCCTCCATTCTTTATAGACAGAAATTAATTCACGATTTTTTGAAAGAAACAAAAAAGATTGGAGCTTAATGTTCATGTTGAACCTAGCTTTCTCATGACAAAAACGTACCTCACATATCCAGATTTTTTGATAATGGGAAAAGTTTATCAATTAACTTTCATATGTACAATATTTGGGGACCCATTTGTGGATCAGGTATTTTTAGCTATACAGTACCAAGCACAAAAAAGAAAAAGTGATAGCATATATTATTCAAGTATACTCCACAGTGAACCTATACATTCACCCATCTTAATGATATATTTGTAATTTATCCTAAAAAAAAAATTGTGAGACTAAAAACTTATCTACAGTACTTCCAACCCTGAAAATGGACCCTGTGAATTCCATCAACCCATCTAGAACAATATTTTCAAGAAATGCTAGCACCTTATTGAAAAAAAAAAACTTGCACTGAAGAATCAAGTGTTGGATGGTAAACCAACAAAGGTTTTTATTTGAAAATAATTCAAAGGCTTCAATCAGTACCTTAATGTTCAGACCTTTTAATGACCTTTTAAATATCTTTTAATGCTTCAATTAAATAATTCAGAACAGGAAAAATGCAGCGCAGTGCAAAAGAAAAGTCTTTAAAAATAATCTCAGAGCACACAAAAATACACAAACACGTCAATAGGCAAAATTTCAAATTTCCAGATATCCTACTTCCACAAGAGCCAAATTCAGAGTGCAGAATTTTAGCTTCTTCTGAGCTTGAACTCTGGTGTGGTCCTTAACCCTCCTCCTCACCTCTGGTTTGCCTCAAACTTGGCAAACTGGTAGCAAGGCAGGATTATCCACCTACATTGCATTTGATTTGGGCAACCTGGAAATTGATTCTTCAGTTGTCCAGTGCCATCTATTGGCAACCCAACAATCAAAGCTTGAGTATCAGGAAAAAGTCTGATACATATTTTTTTGTCCTTAAGTAGAAAAATGTCGGCAAAACATATTTGCTGCATCGTTTTTATTTTCTGGCATAGGATAAGCATTGAAGATTTGCTAAAGCAAAATGACTGACTGTTTCTATATTTTTCTGGACTTTAGCTGTCTCAACCCAAATACATCTTGGTACTGAACAAAAGGTCACTGAAATGCCCTTGGGTTGGGAAGGCCCAATTAGGAAAACACCCAGGTGGAGAGTATCCTATTGTTTTGATAAATCTCCAATATGCTAATTATTTGCTATGAATGCAGAAAAAAATTCCACCCGTGCAGAGAGGAACTTTTTTTTCTGTCAACATTTTCCAACCGCTTAAAAATATTTTTTTTTTAATCTTATCAGGACTTAAGTAAAAAAATAATTTTTTTTTCTTTTATTGCCGATGGGTACAACATTATGCACAAGTATCCTATTGTTTTGATAAATCTCCAATATGCTAATTATTTGCTATAAATGCAGAAAAAAAAATTCCACCCATGCAGAGAAGAACTTTACTTATTTTTCTGTCAACATTTTCCAACCGCTTAAAAAAAATATATATTTTTTTTTCAACTTATCAGGACTTAGGTAAAAAAAAATCATTTTCTCTTTCTTTTATTGCCGATGGGTACAACATTATGCACAAGTATCGTATTGTTTTGATAAATCTCCAATATGCTAATTATTTGCTATAAATGCAGAAAAAAAATTCCACCCATGCAGAGAAAAACTTTACTTATTTTTCTGTCAACATTTTCCAACCGCTTAAAAACTATATATATATATATATATCTTCTCAACTTATCAGGAATTAGGTAAAAAAAAAATTTCTTTCTTTTATTGCCCATGGGTACAAAATTTTATGCACAAAGATCCTGACTACGCGCACAACAAGGCTGAAAATAGCCTTAATTTTTAGAGCTGCTAATCTCAGCTGGCAATGGCCCTTTAAAAAAATAGACTCGAATTCAACCAAAATAACTGTTGAACTTCCAGTTGTTGCTAAGGAAAAAAGCCGCTGAGGAATTGAAGAAGGAACAAGAGAGGAAAGCCCAAGAGCGACGCAGGATCATTGAAGAACGTTGTGGACACGCCAAGAACCTCGATGGAGCCAATGAAGGTAACAAAACCAACCAGCTTTGTTTTGTCTACCAAAAAAAGAAAACCAACATCATCATCACACTTGGTTAAACGAAATTTACCCCCTGCTACCCGAGAAGAAGAAAAAATATATATAAACAAATATTGGGTTTGAGCTGCATTCAAGGGAGGGGGTTTCCCCAAAAGAAAAAAGCTGGTGGAGGGGTTTCACACAATATACCCGAGAAGACATTTTTATGTCCAATACAAAAACTCATTCAACAGCCTATATATATATATATCTAAAAACAAAAAAATGGGTCATGGCTCCTAATAGGAATCGGTCATGAGTTCTTTTTTTCGGTGACAATTTAAGGACTGTGACTCCATAAACTTCAATGTCTACTGGTTTGTCACACTGTTCATGGGAGCCTCAACCCTGTTATTGTTGAACTCCTCATTATTTTATATCGTGTGTGGGGAAATGATGCCTTATAATTACATCAAAGGGCTGCATAATATGCTCACAAAATATCCAATGCATTCAGTAAACTTAAACAATGGAGGGGATAAAAAAAAAAACTTGTGAAGTCTTCTTGGAAATTTTGTCTTTGCAATACTGAGAGACAAATTAATTCTCCATTTCTTCAAATTGTAATTTTATTGACTTATCGTGAAGATGGTGTTATTCCTGACGCATATTTTTAGAAGCAAAAGCAAGTGTCCTCAATTATGCTCAAAATTAAATTACTGATTCATTCACAGGGGAATATAGAATGAATTATTTGTTGAGAGTATTGAGGCTACAGATTTTATTTCTGCGGGCATCCATATTATGTTTAAAAAAAGGCTGTTATGAAAGAAGCAGCTTCAAAGGAATTGGCAAATTTTTGGGAAATTTATCTATTTTGCATGAAGAGTAAACAGTACTGTATATACAAACAGTGGGGCCTCAACATATGGATGCCCCAATGAATGATCAATTGCAAATCATGGAAGCTGACTT